TGTGTGTGTGTGTGTGTGTGTGTGTGTGTGTGTGTGTGTGTGTGTGTGTGTGTGTGTGTGTGTGTGTGTCGTAAACAGGAAGTAAAAGCTGTAAACTTGCAGGGATCTCAGGACGATGCAGAGAAGTTATCAGGAATTTGTACTGAATTGGTTTGAACTGGTCCAGATACGAGGGGTGGAGGTTTTAGGCTGATTTATCTGGTACAAACCCAGGGAGGGGTTCCCTGTTGGTCCGTTGAGTTACAGAGATCTGTGAGGACCGTTCTGGACATCAGGGAAACCAGGAAGTGTTTCAGRCAGAAGGGCTGGTCAACCCTGGTCCCTACCAACTTGTGCTCACGGTTCAACGGTTTACTGCTGCACGTGGGTTTGACTGTTTCTCTTCTTGGGTCTGCTGAAGCTTCATGTACGTTGGGACATCAGGGACACAAAATAATGAGAAACCTGTGACTGAACTGTCCCGTTCAGTACTTGGAGTCTTCAGTAACAGGGAATGGGACGTTTGACATTCATAAACTCTGCTTTACAGAGTGCTTCAAATGTCCCACTTGTATACTTGAAACAATAAAAATTAATGGGACATTTGGCAATCGTAAACTCCACTTTAAAATGTGAGCCTAATGTCCACATTGTTGAAGGCTTGCTTTAACACAAAGGTTGATATTATTTAACATCTTTTTCATTTCAATGAAACATTAAACCTTCAAACTGATTGAATTTTAGCCAMTCTGACACTTTCTCCTGTGGTTTAATTTGTACCATAGCTGGACTTGTGTTTTTAGTTTCTGGGGCAGGATTCTCCTGTACGAGGTGGACTCTGTCCACAGGAGATATTTTGAGACAGTTTGGATGCTCATGTCCTCATCGGCTTCATGGAGACTTCTCGTCTGACCCTCAGGACACGTGGCAACAGAAATCATGGACTCTCAGCAAGCTCCCATTGGGAGAAATGGTTTGGGGCTCAGGAACCCAGTGACCTGACGCTGTGTTTGATTGTTGGTGTATTTGGCCACTATGAGGCAAACCTCCCACTGTGACCTTTAGGTTGGGACACRGGAGAAGAATTGGGACATTTCAGTGGACAATCAGACCGTTTGTTGCCATATTGTTACCATTTGTCCAGTGGGACAAATTGGGAACAGTTGTCCCAAATTTCAGAATTTTTCCTGCAGCCTCTTTTGAGAAGAGAGACGTCCAAGGACTAAATGAGACCCAGAACCAAACCTTGATATTTAAGAGCTTCGGTCAAGTTGGGTCCTAAATTTTGAATGTTCAGCAGTTCCCTAAGTGGGAYCAGAGAATGACAGTTAGAGAAAATGAAACCACAATTATATAAATGACAACACCAGCTGTGTTTCCATTCACCATGAAAATGTGCAAATTAGAATTTCAAAAATAAATTTGCTCAATGGAAACACGTCAGTTTAGAAAAAAACTTAGTTTTTCAACTAAATGTTTTTGCTCTAGGATGAGTTGATTATTCGTCATCTCGAAATGGGTGTTTTTCACAAAACTGCAATGGAAACAGTTTTTTCACATCACAGGAGTCA